CCCAGTTCTAGCGTACCGTTGTTATTTTTGTCGGCAAACTGAAAAATTTCGTCCAATTCCTCATTCGAATAGTCAAGGCCCGTATTTTTACAGAGCTCCGTAAGGTCCTATGCCGACAGACCGTTGTCATCCTTTAAATTTAAGGGGTTATTTTGAAGTTGGGGTGGGGCCATGAGCATTCGACTAAAGACTGCTCGGATCGCATCCATTATGTTGTGTTTTGTGTCCTGTAACCTTGTAACAGTGCTCAGAAATCCGTCGATATCTAAGAGACTTTTAGAATGAGACATACAGGCTAACAGGAAGAATTAGTGGGTTACCCTCCCGGCGAGCAGTAGAGCTGATAGAGCGTTTCTTGAAGTTCTCTCTCCACTGACAGACTGAGAATGGACAGAGCCTGCTTGAACTGACTTAGAGTGAGTAGACTGAAGGCATGTGTTACGGTTAACCTAATGAGCATTACCCGTCACCGTTTGAGTCCTGTTGCTCAAACAGAGCCTTCAAATCGACTATTTCACTGGGTGTTAATGCCTCCAGAACCGTGGTTGAAAGCGTGCAATCGGAGACCTCATGCCTGCCGACCTTGTGAGAGTTGATAAATTCGAGGAACTAGTTGATACGGTCAGTCAGTGATCTCAACTGGGCTCAAACTTACCTGCTCGTAGGTCAGTGGATAATAAGCAGGGATCGGCTTAGCATTCGCAAGAAGTGTAAAATCCTCATGACCCTTTTTGTGCTTCGCTTGCTGCACATTATCTTGCAACATCTCTAACTGGAGGAAATAGTACAGTGAAGCAAGACAGCATAAATGATTGTCAACGTGACTAACTCCTATGCCGTGACTGTTCTACATACAGCCATTTCCAGCTTATTATCCGTCGTCAGTCAGCCTTACTCAACTGGAGGTTGGACTACCTTAGGACTTGAACCCGAATTCGTTAGAATGAGGCATTGAACTCAACAATCTAATACAGTCTGTACTCTTTCCTTTCTCATTTCTATTATTTCCCAGGGCTCTGGACTGAGCCATAAGGTACAGCGGACGAACATGCCCTGTAATCTAATCAGCGAACTCAATTCCCATGATATTTTTTCTTCGGGAAGCCAATGGATTGGTGTGCGCCTATTCCCGTTGAAATAAATATCCAATCTGCAGCGACAGAGGATGATAGGAGGCGAGGCACTGATAAACTTCGGTTCGATGAAGGGCTTATGAACCATCTGCTAGATCCAGTGTGCGGAATATCTGCATCGTCCTCCAGCACATCTTTTTGTTTTCAGTTCTAACTGATAGTCAGGGTTATGATTGGCGGAATGAATGCAGAATAAGCCCAAAACCAACTGTATCAATCCACCCGCGTTTTCTATCTTCTCTGCTTTCTGCAATATAT